TTTATCGACAATTTTCATACATCAATTCGAAGTTATATCACTATAATTCTTCTAAAAAGTAACAGCTAAAATCTTAAAAGGGTATCTGAAAATAGAGATTTTACTGCTTTAATCTCGCCCTATTTTCCTTTAATTGTTTTGCGGAGTGTATTATAATTTAGAAATAAAATTTTCAAGATAAATACTATTCTCTCAGGCAATTATGTCCCATCATTAGTTCGAATGATGGCAGTTTCACCGCAAATACTGGAATCGTCCACCATTCTTGTTACACGAGTCAGGATTTCAATAATATCGTCCAGAACAGTAGTAAGAACACGCCATCCACGTAAAATCGTAGAAAACATAATCATTAGAAAGTATATCAATGACTAAATGCAATTAATTTCCCGTAATGACCAGTTTCTATTAAGCTTTCGAAGTTCAAACCTCGAGCGAATCAGCAAAAAAGAACATTATATCCTGGTTCTAACTAGCGACGGTATAACAAATTAATGGACCATAGCAATAATTGTACAAATAAGGCTCGTGTCGAAATCCATGTTTCTCAACGTGTTTCAAGCATCTTTAGCAACGCCATGATCTGTTTTAGCAATTTACTATCAGTCGGAATACCATAAGGTTTCGTACACATTTTATGATTCCAAGTTGCATTGGAATATCATTTACTGTGTCAAATTGTACATCAATCATAAATGTTCATCAATCAATATATTTTTATTTTCATTTATAAATACAATCATGTTTATTCACTTACTTTCTCTTATAATACTTTTAAAATTCCACCAGATACAAATGATACCTTTAAGATTAATACAAATTCAAATGATTCATTTCAGGTTCATAAAAATGCAAATGGCCCCCGTTGAAGAATGTTCAGTTGGACGAAATTCTGGCTACGTAAGCAGGATCGTGATAATCATCGAAAGGGAAGATCGGTATTCGGCGAAACCGATGCCAGTAAGATGAAAGATACCGATAAGCGATGATCGGAGTGGGCTGATTGAATTTTGCCAAGGCGACGACCCCTGAAACGAGCAACCCGGTCACCGATCTTGCTCATGCTAAGTATACTAATTACGACGTCCAATCAGTGCGTGTATCGTGCCAACCGAATTGGAGTCCTGTAATGGGATGGGCTCATCGCAGGCCTCTGCCTCGAAATAGGGAACGCTGCTCGTCTCCTGCTGGGTTCGGCGAGATTGTCAGGGTCATTCGATTCAAAGGAAGGTTACCTCAAGGTCATAGACTTCACCGGCCGACGATTACACGATTTCAAGATCCTCCGTGATCGCTTTCGTTAAAAGACGCAGGATTTAAAATGTATTTGTTCATTAAATGAAGCGATAAGATTAAATTAGTAAGATTATGTTATAAAGTAGAGTTTGTTTTAGAAATAAAGAAACTGACGAGAAGAATTATCCAAGTGGTATACTTACATATTAATTATTACCTATGTGATTGTATATATTACTTCAAATCCAATGATTGCTGGTTCAAATCCCGGTTTCGTTCTTTTATTTTTTTTTTATGTGGACTTATCTTTTTAATTGAATTATGAATGATGTTTTTCTTGTTATAAAATGTAAAATAAAAATTGTTTGAGAAATCAATCAAAATCAGCACAAGACTGAAAAGTTATTAAAATAATTGTTTGACAAATTGGAATTCATTTTATGCATTTTAGTAAATAAATCATTTTAAAACAGCAGCTGAGTAATTATTTAATTTCCCGAATTTCCTTCCTGAGTTATTTAGATGATTCATTGAACTACCTTTCTCAGTTATTTATTTATATAACATTCAATAACTGCTTGATGTTTTTACAATTTTTATGTTTAAATATTCTGCAGATTTGTATTTATTAATTATGTTTCATACAATACTAGTATTACAATGTATCATCATTTACTTGATCATATTATTCATGTGACATTCATGTGATAAAAAATTTTTTTTCGAGTCGCCAAAAATCCTTCTCGCAATTATAATTTTTATCAAAAAAGAATTCGTTTCCGGGGTGTCAGGAACCCCGATGCATCGTTGCCGCTCTCTGCATACCGACCTGATATCATCTTGGGGTGTCAGGAACCCCGGCAACTCATTTTCCGCACCGATAAAATATCATCTGGGGTGTCCGGGACCCCGGTGACACTCTGGGCACCAACCTAATATCATCATGGGGTGTCAGGGACCCCGGCGACTCTCCCTGCTCACCGACCGGACTTAATGTCATCTTGGGGTGTTAGGGACCACTCTGAATCTCTTTCCGCATCGATCTAATATCCTCTTGGGGTGTCAGCGACCCCGGTGACTCTCTGCGCACCAACCTAATATCATCATGGGGTGTCAGGGACCCCGGCGACTCTCTGCTCATCGACCGGACTTAATGTCATCTTGGGGTATCAGGGACCCCTCTGAATCTCTTCCCGCATCGACCTAATATCCTTTTGGGGTGTCAGGGACCCCGGTGACTCTCTTTGCGCACCGACCTAATATCATCTTGGGGTGTTAGGGACCCCGAAGAACGGGTGATACTCTTTGCACAGGTATCCCATAAAACGATTCCTGTATTCTTTTATCTGCTGCATCCTTGTATTCCCGACATCGCTGCATCACTTACATCTCGGCAACCCTTTCGCACCTGAATTCCTTTCACCCCTGTTTCTCTTACATCACTGCATCACTTACATCCCGGCCACCCTTTCGCCCCTGCATTCCTTTCGCCCCTGCATCTCTTACATCATTGTATCGCTTACATCCCGGCCACCCTTTCACCCCTGCATTCCTCTCGCCCCTGCATCTCTTACATCACTGTATCCCTTACCTCCCTGCCACCCTTTCACCCCTGCATCTCTTACATCACTGTATCCCTTACATCCCGGCCACCCTTTCGCCCCTGCATCTCTTACATCGCAGTATCCCTTACATCCCGACCACTCTATCACCCCTGCATCTCTTACAACACTGCATCCCTTACATCCCGGCCACCCTTTCACCCCTGCATTCCTTTCACCCCTGCATCTCTTACATCACTGTATCCCTTACATCCCGACCACCCTTTCGCCCCAGCATCTCTTACATCACTGCATCCCTTACATCCCGGCCACCCTTTCACCCCTGCATCCCTTGCATCACTGCATCCCTTACATCCCGGCCACCCTTCTGCCCCTGCATTCCTTTCACCCCTGCATCCCTTACATCACTTCATCTCTTAAAGAAGCTAAGAAAAATCTCACTAATTTAGTTCCTCTTTTTGTCGCCAGAGGGCGCTGACTCGAGGTCGAAATTTTAGTTCACATTTTTCCCGCTAGAGGGCCAAAATCTCGGCAAGCTTTAGTTCCTTTTTTTGAAACCAGATGGCGCTGATTCGACGTCGAAATTTTAGTTCACATTTTTCCCGCTAGAGGGCCAAAATCTCGGCAAGCTTTAGTTCCTTTTTTTGAAACCAGATGGCGCTGATTCGAGGTCGAAATTTTAGTTCACATTTTTCCCGCTAGAGGGCCAAAATTTCGGCAAGGTTTAGTTCCTTTTTTTGAAACCAGATGGCGCTGATTCGACGTTGAAATTTTAGTTCACATTTTTCCCGCTAGAGGGCCAAAATTTCGGCAAGCTTTAGTTCCTTTTTTTGAAACCAGATGGCGCTAAATTTATTGGTACTTTAGTTCCAGTCTTCGCCGCTAGAGGGCGCTGTTTTTTCGGAAAAAATTTAGTTCAAATCTTACTAGAAGGCGTTAAATTTATTGTTGGGAAGTTATAAATGTTAGAGAGGCAGGAATATAAGGAATGCAGTGATGTAAAGAATACAGATATCTAATAGGGAATAGAAGGATACATGCATACCAAAATGGTCACTGTGAGGACCATAAAGATGAATCAAATAATAAACAACTGGAAATCCTGGGCCTTGGTCGATACACAATGTTGAAATAACGAATAACTGTTATGGATTGGTTCTAGCCCATAAAGGGAGAGAAAATAATATATAATTGGGAAGGGCGGTGTTTACGAGGCCTACAAACAAGGATAAAATAATAAATAACTAAAACCGGTGAGCTGATAGCCACAAGAGGGATAAAATCATAAATTTCATCACCCCTATGAGCTTATTCAGTAAACTAAGAAAATAAATTAAATGAATTATCTAAATGAACTCGGAAAATAAAATAAAATAAAGGTAGATGTTTGGTTGACAGGTAGATCCGCACCCCTCGGCGGTCGCGATAAGAATGACTAAGTTTCACCTCGCTCTAAGTCAAAAGGACGACAGCAGTTTGAATACAAGTTTGCCAAACAATTACTTTAATAATTTTTGGGTTGAGTTCTAAAGAAATAAAATCAAAGGGAGTCAAAATTGTGTCTTTTTGGTTGTCAGTGCGAGGTCTGGTAGTCTTTTTGTATCTGCAGTCACTGATGACAATGAGAAAAATAAAAGAACAGAGCCGATGAAACATACTTTCGTTCGTTCGGGCTCGAAACTCCTGGCCAACTCTTATTTCACAATCAGACTAAAAGATCGTGATCTCGTGCGACTCTCATCCGACTTTCCATTTCGTTCGATACCCTGCACATAATACATTACCTGGTTGGCTGCTTGTTCGTTGCTTTTAAGGCGCTGATTATGCATGCGACTGGATATTTATGTCCTCTCGAACTTTGCCCGACTTTTTTATTCCTGCTCGAAGTTAATCACGCCCATCTGAGCGACGAAAGATTTATGGAATTCCAGATGGATTTTTCTGCGCCGGTGAGAGTTCGATCCTTCTTCCATTAGTCGTCGTGGAATATTATTCAAAATTAATAAAATTTTATAAGATCGTAATAAATTCGACGAGCCAATATTTTTAATTAAGAAAAAGAAATCCTTTAAACTTTGTTATCCTGAAAAATTATGTAACTGCAATTTTTAATAATAAACGTTTGGGATAGGAAAATACAAGGTCTGTACCATAAGTTGAATAATCGATTATATTTGGTAAAACATTTACAAGGTAATAAGATTTTTTTTGTTTCATTTAATGTTACATTTACAGGCAAGGCATCATCAAAGACCGTACCAACTCTACAATAAATCGTAGTAATGTATAAGGTTACTTATAAGAAAAGTATGTACCATCAAATTATCTTTATCGTTACTATCAATATTTAATGTTACGGTAATGTGCTACTCTTATTTAATTCTTTCTCAGGAACAAATACATATTTTCTTTTTTATTATTTTCTTCTTCGTCTCATATATCCATATTTATATTCATATATTTGTATCTTTAATCAATATACATCAATTCGCGATTACATTGAACAGTGTCAGAACTGCACACCATGTATTCTTTACGCATTCGTGGACAATCGAACGAATGGAATATACATACTAGTATAATGTACGTACACTACTGTTCAAAAGCATCAGAACATTTGCCAAATTTTGTATAAACCCAATAAACTATTATATAGCAAATAATTTTAAAAAAATTTTAATAATACCTACTTTAATTTATATCAAATTGACAGTAAAACACTGTCTCATTATTAGTTAAAAAATTCTCTATGCAAAATAATGAAATCAATCATCTTAAAATAAAAAATCTACAATTTTATTAGAAACAGCAAATGTCTCACTACTTTTGAACTGCAATGTACCTGTGTCTTATATGAAAACGAAAATGAAATACAAAGGTTCTTGGTGTGTCTCAATCCTTTCAAAATTTGTCTAACAATATAAGGCAGCAAATTGGAAAATGAAATTGAGAAATCGAATAACGATACCTTGAACAATTTTTATTGCAATGCACCTTGTTATGTTCATTTTCACTGTGTTAACATTCAATGTGTTAACTTCGATTCGACGTACAATTAGCAAACTGGCTTCAAAAACCGTGATGTGAAATGGAACTGCTGTTTGTGCAGTATGTTCAAAATCACTGCACACGAAATGAGTGTACAGTGTCGAGCATGGTAGCGTTTCTTAGAGAAGAAGTGACGTAGAACAAAAGCCCCCCACTCTAACGCGTTTGCTAAGGTCTGAGGGTTATGAATATTCCAGGTGAATGAGATAAATAAAAATAATATTAATAATACTACGCAATAGGTGATAGTAACTTTCAAGTATCAAGGGAGAGACCTCCTGTCCCTACAGCGCTTTTTCTCCATGGGGAGACTACCATGCTCGAGAATGTACAAGTGTCTAATTAAGACACGACGATCCTAACGATTATTACATTTGCGAAGGGGGGAGGTTCGAATGAAAGGAGGCGTTCCATGGTGCCGCGAAGCAATGTCTACTTTGATGCGGGCGTAGAAAATGACAGACAGACAGACAGAGAGAAGAGGAAAAAAGAGTATCAAGTGTGTAGAGAACTATTGCACTATACCGATTCACGATACCTGCTCGATTAACTAGGCAGCTAAAGCATTCACGACATTCCAAATTTCACGAACGACACTCTCGCTTTTTGGTCACCCTTTAATATTTTTGAAAATGAGTTGTGGAAATGTGACGAACATTGGCGTAATTAGGATTTTTCTGTGGGATATATTGAAATTGGAAATAATTATGAAATTGGAAGTTATTATTTCAAGAATTCAACGCATAATTTTTATTTATTTATTGCAATCATTTTTGGCAAAAGGCCCACCTTGATTTTTATCTGATTACGCCAATGGTTAGGAATGAATTAGGGCGAAAGTAGTGATGGGTTAGAACATAGGAACATGTTTCTGAATTTGGACCATTTTTTTGAATATTTTTGTTATCTAAACCGATGAAGATGTATTTTTTAATTTTATGTAAAAATCAAGTATTTGAAATAATAAAAAAAAATTATTAGAATATTTTTCACAAGCGTTCTTTTAATTAATTCGAGTATAAACAGAACGTGCATTTCACCTATTATTTTATTCACTGTATGCACTTCACAAAATACAATTATTTATACATATTTGGATCCTTTTTTTTGTTCTTTTCGTATATTACTGCAATATAACAATCAAATAATTAATTCTGATACACGTAATTTTTCTCAAGGGAATCATAATACATGAATTAATTAACTATAAATAATCTTTTCTTTTTACAATCTTTATAATATTTAGATGATCTACAAACCCTCTAAGACATTTAGACATTAAGGACCTTCAAAACTTTCAACATTTTCAAAATTTTAAGCTTTTCAAGCCACCTAACAAGACTCGAAGCTTTTTAAAGCGTTTACAATTTCTTTATAATCTTCGAAGTTTACTGATTTCAACATTTTTAAAGTTTTCTCATAGCAGAGTACAAAGTACAATTTTACCTGCTCAAGATCACTTTCTTTTTTTTTTTAAAATACAAAAGCGATTTTAACTCCTATCGTTTTAACAGACCTTTGGTTTTCTTTCACGTTCACATTACAAACATAATTTTCCTCGTCTCCTTATCGCAGTTCATTGAATATTTAACACTTTCTCGTCGAACAACTCGCGTATACAGCTATTATATCCTACAAGTGATGTATTTCTTTGTATCTAACATTATTGGCAAGATAAATTATATTTAAACACGGGAGAATTATGCCAAAATTCCATAGAAATGAATTATTACACGGTACTCTGAGAACCAGCGATCTTGAGCAACCCTGAGTTTATCCTCAATCAAAGTTTCCCAATTTATTCAAAATCAATTCTTATATTCATTTTCAATCAAGCTATTTGGAATTATTATTAAAAACTGACTGACATACTTCCACACATTGACTGCCATAGGGATCATCGATGACACTCAAATAATAAAAGAAGAAAAATTTTCAAATTTAATTTAATAAAATTTGCCTTCTTTTTTAACTAATAATTCAATTACACAAAATTCGAGGCGTCATCAGTAATCTCCGTGACAATTAAAATGAGAGCTGTCAAAGTGAAATACTCAATCATATTTTTTTGCGGTAATTAATGCACTAATAAGTACTTTTGATAATGAAGAGACAGGTTAGTGTACCAAATTCAGAGAGAATGGAGGATAAAAAAGGGAATACGAGATGGCGATGGGTATGAATGAGGGTGCATAAAACGTCGTATGTTTCTGAAACAGTTCGAGAGCCGTGTTCGTCAACCCTTTCATTTTTCTAGCCGTCTCCTCACCCTTACTGATGGAATGTTTCATTATGGTTATTTCGAGCTTAATCGTGGCGGATATGGCCGCCCTGTTGTGAACATATTTTACAATCGTACACACATATTTATACGTACAATATGTATTTCTGTGATAATAATAAAAATAATAATAATAATATATTCTCTCTTCGTATCTGGTTAAAAGTAACTCACGTGTTCGCGGTATTTTTCATCATTTTCGTTACTTCGTGTCGCAATACGAAGACGACTCGTATAAACTATGTACAAAAACAACGACAGAATAGAATTAACGCGCGAAAAAAAAACTAGTTTCGACTCCCCTATCTTCGGTGGGAGACGATCATCTTGTAGCGATGATAACGTAACATAACGTAACGATGATAACGCGACATCGAACGCAGTATCGTTGGAATTACGACTATAAAATTAACAGAATCAATAATGATACCTCTGACGAGAGAAATCGGTATGGAGCAACCCTTAAGGTACGCCTTTTTGTGTTTTTAGAACGGGTTTAAAACAACGGTATCACCTTTAAAAAAAGAAAAGAAGAAAAAGAGAGAGGAAGAAATAAACGCGTGTCTATATAGAGCTCTACGTATATTATCGTATAATAATAATAAGAATAATCAGTGTTCTTTGGTAACACAGTGATGCGTCCGGAAACCACAAATACGATTTCAACGTATTGTCTGATCGTGACAAGATGGTCCCGATAAATATGTGCAGTGTTGACCGAGAATTTTTTAATAATAATTATTTAGGATCAAGTTGGAGAATTTCATTTCTTCGTGTGATATTTCATTTTTGGAATATATGCAATAAATTGCAATTATTGAAAGAATATTCAAAGTATTTAAAAATTAAATTTGGAAGATTTAAAATCATTTTACTTTAAAATTCTTTAATTACCAGTTAATGATAGGAACATAAATTTCAATCTCCAATTTTCTTTTCTCAAAAACGAAACTTCACAAGAGAAAAAGTAAATATCTCCAAACTAAAACTATCTTTTTTCAATTCATCCACGGTTCAACCTGCACGATTCAAGTACTATGCTCTCTACCGGACGAGCGTTGCTCGGTCAGCATGCGACTAATCGTCGATCACCTCGTCGTTTCCTGATGGTGACCAATAAAAAAGAGAGAGAGAGAAAAAAAAAGGAAAAACGAACATCCATCTTGTCCTACGACCTATTTATGTACACATGTTTACGCACGAATGTACGCGTACCTCTATATACATGTGTGACAGCAGCATTCTCTTCATCTTCTCGTACATTCAGGCTACTCGCGTCTACCCGACTCTTCGTGGTTCACGCTTCATCCCTCATCGGAGGGATTGGCTAGTTTTACGGTCGACCGTATGTACATGGTTCTCAGCCGGGTGAACAGCGATTGCGATGTCCGATGGTTCGAAGTTGCGAGTTTAAATAAGAAAAAGAAATGAGGGTAACTTCGATCATCGTCCGACAGTACTTTCGATCGACATTCCCGCTCTTTTCGAAAGCCTCACACACGCATTCTACACGCACGCAACACACACTGTCTCTCGTTAATCCCTTAAGCTTAAGCTTATCCGATAGTTAAGTAAATATCTGTAAATCCTCTCTATGTACACCCTGTTTTGAATAGTTCCCTTAATAACCTAGCCCTAAGAACTCCGCCTTCGCGTGGATTCTCTTCCTGGTCCGCCTACGCTGGCGACCGATCAAACACCTCAGGGTTCTTTCCTCGAGGCTACCTCGCTCCGAAGGTTACTCCAGACTGGAGACGAAGCAATTTCCCTTTGCTCGTCGGGTAGGAAAGCTCCGGTTTCTCGCGGTTCCTTGGGGATAAGTTTCGTTGGAGTCGCGGCGATCTGCCGCTTCGTATTAGTCGTTCTGGTCCCGGGACTTCCCCAGGTGAAGGATAACAGAGACTCGTTACCGACGGTCGGTATACTCGACAGGGTAAACGGAGCTGTGCTTCGCGTGCTCGCGTTCATGTCTCCGCTTCCATCCTCGCCAGAGGAGACTTACGAGCCCAGTTGTTGGCCACCGGCTACGTACACGTAGCTCTATGGTTGCTGAAGCAACAGTTGCTCGAGTTCGTCGGCGGACCTCAAGAGGAACGCCGCGGACTCTCGATATCCGGTGATCAATTGCCTGACGGCCGTCATTTCCGTCGCGTTCAACTTGTGACTCAGCAGCGGCTTCGTGTTCTTCATGCTCAGATCCGTTGGTCCTGAAAAATTAATTAAAGTTAGATGGATATTGGATAGTTTCTATCAAGGCAGCTTGAAGCATTTCTTTTTAATACATTTTTTTTAAAGCCAAGACTGAAGAGGTTGATGTTTGAATGAAAATAGCATACACAGAATGGCATAAATTAAAAAGAAAAATTCTCAGTTCGAGGTAAATTCTTACTCGGATGTTTTCAGGTCGTCGGAGATCATTTTAAGATATCTCGTGGACCTGAAATCTGAGGTAAGAGGGCAAGAAGCGAACTCATAAGAACACCGATAAGGAATATTACTTTGTGTACCGTTGCTCAATAGGCCCGACGTGAAACTCTGGGTCGGGTAGAGTCCAGCCGAAAGGGTTGGCGGGACGGTTGGTCCCGCACGCTGGAACGCCTGGCTGAAATTTGGTCTGTACATCGCCGTCGGTGCACCGCCGCTGGCAACACCATTAACGGTCGACGAGCTGACTATCGTCGCCTGGCTGAAAAACGCAAACGAGATTCGTGTTAGCGATAAGCCATAACATTGATTAGCTCCGCGCAATTCTGCCTCTGGCATTCTCTCTCGCTCCGTGATCTTTGACCGTCTACCAACCGTTTTATCTGCAACTCCTCCGTCGTGGCCGACTCGAATCGGTGTGAATGAGAGATCACGAAGCGAGAATGAGCAGCCGGCTGATCGGCTACGAGAACAGACGCGTAATTTTTCTCGATCGTCGAAAACCGATTCGTACTAACTCCATCGTTGATGATAAATTGGAGAAAAATTCTGACAACTGATAAATTATTTCTTTTTTAAATAATTAACGATTGGGAAACATTTGGATAGAAATTTTGAAAGGAACTTTTAAGTAGAATCCCATTTGTTTATTATCTTTCGTTCGATCGTATCGTGAACTAATTACAGTTTTGATTACAGAGGCTAATTATAGAAATTGCAACAGTATTCTTCTGTGTGGTTAAAACTAGATTGAAGAAATTTCGATAAAATTTCATTTAATCCCGTGGACGGTAAGATAATCATTATCTTTAATTCAAGACGATAGAGCATCTATATTTACCAAAATCCTTTTTACTCCAAATCGAACATTGACGTTGATCTAAATTTGGTATTACTTCGTCTAGACTGTGCTTTCATTATTGATGAATATAAGTCTAGTTTGTTTTCGATACTAATTGTATAACATTTAAACAATTTAATTTTTGATTAATTAGAACAGAAATATATTGTTCAAATTATACTTCCACGGTTAATTTTATTCTACAAATAAAAATAAAAATAATTAAGTCAATTTCAGGATGATTTAATGATACTGACCTCATGAGACCCTTGTTGTCTGCCGGTGTGAGCAGTTTCGACGCGGGTGCGAGAGACAGGGGTGTAGAAGAGAGGGTGTTACTCGGCAAGTTCGCCAAACTGGTTAGCGGCGCCAGGGACGTTAGCGATGCCGGCGGTGTATCCTCCCTCTTTCCCGGAAGTGATTTCACTGGCGTACTCGAGAAATGCTCTAAACTTGACCGGACGTCCGTTTGCTGTAACAAGCACTCGATCTTAGCCCCATCTTCCGTTAAATTACCGACGGAAATTTTAAGATTTCACGTTAATTAATATTTAAACACCGATGAAATTTCAACAACTTTTAATTTTTAACTTTCATAATAGAACCTTAATAATAAATGGTTAATTTCATTCATTAAATTACAGACAGAGAAATTTATAGTTAGAATAGAAAAATTTTGGAAGATTTCTGAAAATCGTGGAACGTTCATCTGAATTCTGACAAATACGTGAACAAGATCGATCGCAATCGAGGTTGTTCAAATCTCCTACGGGGCATGACTTTTGTCAATAATCGTTACATTTTGTTGCCTCCGCCGATTGGCTCGATCCCTCCCCCGTGGAATCCCCACCACCCTGGACACGCGAGAAACCATTATCTCATGCTCCAGATTTTTAAGCATTCTGACCCAGTTTTCGTCAGTTGGCGATCGTGGATCGGTTGAACGCGAGAGAATCACGCGAAAGAGCAATCGTACGGTTTTAAAATAAAAGAAGAAATCACGTGTTCCGAGACGAGATCTCCCAATGTACCTGCTGGATCTGCACGCGGTCGTACACCTGTTTATGCACCACCCTTAGGTTTTTCTTCCTCATGATCGACCGATTATCAGGCACCCATAACAATTTAACTGTATCCCGACCAAGTTCCTCGCGATCTGAACCTCCTGTTCATCCTGTCGGATCCATAAACACTTTCATGGGTATCACAGAACCGTGTCCCATGGAAGCTGACCAGCCTCGAAGGGATCAAAGAACACCAATCACCAAAAACAGCACGCGTCGATGGAGACGATGAACCGATCGATCTTGCGGATCACTCGTCGACCCGATCATCTTCGGTTCACCGGCTACAGTGTGTCACCTGACGGTTGGTACGCTCGATGGAGCAGGCGTCGAGGGAGGATAGTGAGAAATGAAAAATGGCGGCAAAAAGGCAGGCGCGCGACGAGAGGATCGAGATGCGACCAGATGCGGCGTACGAAGACGTCGAGGCGCGAGTAAGCTTGACTCGCGGCCAAGGAAATTAATTCGAGGAAAGAGAAGAGAGGTAGTGGCGAAAGAAAGGGGAAGAACGGGACCGAGAAAGAAGAAAGACGGCTAAAGGCAGCGCACACAGAGGGGGCGAAGAAACGACGACGGCGGCGACGACGACGACGACGACGACGACGACGAGAGCACAGGCGTGCACGGAGGAATGAAATCGTCAAGAAGAGAGGAGAACGGATGTAGGGAGGTGTTTTTATGAAAGGCGAGCAGTGTGCGTTGACGTCAATTATATAGGTGGCTACGGCAGATAGCCGCGTCGTTGCACGAACCCCGGTCTTCTCCTTAATGGGTTAGGTTTAGGTCGCCGCAGAGGTTATCGGTCTCTCCCTCTATCTTTCTCCCTCTGTCTTCACTCTCTCTCCCTCGTACTCGCTAAGGATTTTCAAAGTAGATAAGTCGAGGCGAGAAACACCGAGTTTCTAGCTTTCTTGCCGTCGAACAAGGGACTCGGAACTGGCTGGACCAATATTCGGAAGGACCTAAGGAGGATTAGGTACCCTGATGGTGCTTGATCAATAAGGGGATTTTCTTAATACCGATCAATTTTATTCTGGAAGGGGATATTCTGCGCTTTTTATATGATCAGGTTGAACGAACTGTGAAAGGGTAGTGAAAAACGAAATGGTGGATGATATCTGTAGATGGCGCCATCTAGGGATCCCTAGCTCCTTATAGGGAATTTTATCTGAAGAACGATAAAGGTACAGGAGATAGGAATTAGAAAATGAAGACAAGTGATTTTGGTAGATGAAATGTAACATTTTCTTTGTAATCCTTTTTTTCAACCAATTTGCATTAATAAATTTTACTTTTAATTCTTGTTTGATCACTTTCTTTTAATTAGTTGATTATCAGCTCTGTTCATCATGAAAATATTTTTAAAAGTATCTAATAATAACAATAAATAAATTATCTTTCGACAACGTCAATGAAGACGGTGAAATCGTTTGGCAATGTCCGTTGATAACGTTTTAGAAACGCAAAAACGAATTTTTAGTTTGTCACGCATGTACTAGACAGATTATCGAATTCAATTATCTTCGAAACGTACAAAGATAAACCATTCAACTTATTTTCACCCAATGAATTGCGTCTTTGCAAGCATTTCCAGGAAACAATTTGTACATTGTGTCGTGTAAGTAGGTCAAATAAGATCCTCCAAAATTTATTCTCATTTAGCCTCCTAATTGAATAATTATTTAATTAAAAAGAACCTCATAAGTCAGATACTCTGAATTATTTAAAACACAATAATTTCTTCTGGAAGCAACAAATAATAAAATAATTGAAAAAGGCAGTTAAATGGATAATTTGTCACTTTCAAATAAATTTTGTAAATCTACTTTTACTATTCTTCTTTCATTTTTGCAACTATTTAATCCTGTCTATTACTAACATTACATCAATCATTATCGATGATGTTTCTCCAAAACAGAGACTCATTCTTGGTAACGATTCCGGTGGAATATTAATTTTCATTTAACCATGGACAATGATTCGTAGCTAGGTCGGGAAATACCGATGGGAAAGCTATTTCGATGTTGGAATTTAAGCGAAATTTCGAAGCGGGCTCTGGTACATCGGTGCGGCACGCAATCGGCCGATCCAAAGCTCGTTGACGACTCCTGGACCGGAGAATATTTCGATTTTTCCGTCGTTCCGCGTACAACGTGGTCAGCTTGTGTGGGTTGCATCAGAGTGGGAGAGGTGCGCGACCCACGGGGTTATCGTCGGCCTCTCTCTGTGTACCTATATCAATCCTAGCTTCGTTTCACGTATCAAGCTTTGAAGCGTTGCGCAGGAGCCCGATGCTCGGATCTGAACCGGCGATAATTTTACGAACGGAGCCGACAACTTTCATGGAAAACTTTATCGTCCACGGTGTTGCGTCACGAGCGAAGATCTTTGCTCACATTCGCGAACACGATTCTACTTTTCATCGCGTCTCGCGTGTTTTTATTTTAGGACGCGTCTCGAATTTTATAGAAATAATTAGTAAAAAAATAAAGGCGCGTTTACAGAAAGATCGGCGAACGAGAACGATCGAGTTCTTTTCATTCTAATTTTACTCACCGTTGCGGCCGGAAGAGTTGGCATCGGCTGCGAGACTGGCTCCATACCGAGTCTCATGCGTTTCGCGTTGTCGCTCTCATTTTCGCAGGCGGTTGCCAAAATCTGCTCGGCCTGCACGGAGGTCAAGTGTGCCGGAGTGGGCCTCGCCTAAAAAGAAACACACCGCTCACGTGATCGTCGCATACCAAAAGACCGAACTTGACTCAGACCTCGAGAATCCATGGACTCTCGCGGCTGACCTTCCTTGGTCCGACGAAACGTTTCCAATATAACTGGAAATTATTTTTGTTCTAATTTTTCATAAATTATTGATAGAATAGTTACTAAAAATTCCAGTTAAAATAATTTTGTAAAAGAGAAGAGGGTGGGTCTTGATAAAATAAATATCTCGTTTCCCCAGAAACTCCATGAAATCTTAATTAATATTTTTAATTATTTTAAATTTAATTCGAATACTCACGGCATCCCAAGGTGCACCCTCTTTGCCGCGTTTGTTCCTCCGACAGCTCTTCAGGTACGTTCGGATCCTCTTCCTGGCCCTCTCCGCGAATTCCGGGAACTGCCTGGTGCAACTATCGATAATGGCCTGTATCTTCTCCTTCGGTTGCTTCGAGATCGGCACCATACGATCGAGATTCTCGTCGACGAAGAGCCTGACGAACATCTGTAAAAGGACGCGGACAGACGACGGAATGAATTAAACGGAGCCCTGTACAGTTTGCTAGAAGGAATTAAGCATTTCGCGGTGGTGGGAGTCGTACCGGGCTTCTATTAAACTAATTGTAATTAATTAAGGAGCAGCTCGGTAGCCGGCTTCACGGCCATCTGCGAGCCCCGGTTGGATTTCAGATTCCATCGTTGAAGAGGGTTGGCGTTGGAGGAAGACGTTGAAAAGGGAGCGAGCTACGCGGCGCCGCGACGTTGTTTTCATAAAACTTTACGATAATTGAGCCTTTTTCGGGGGAAAAGTCCAATAGTAGCTCGGCTTAGCTTTCATTCGAACGAGGATACCGCCTCTTTTTCTACCCTCCCGCAAACGTTGTTTCCTTTCCCTTGCCGCGAACGCGCGAACAACTTCGTATCTTTTTACGCGGTTCCCGACGCTCGCTGGTAATGTTAGCCGCAATAAACTCGCCGTTTCCGGTTTAATGCGAGCCAACGGTCGGGGAAGGAAATGGTTAGAGCAAGAGACTGGTTACGGTTTCAGGTGTTGCGAGGTGCTAGCTGCGTTTATTCGAGATAATTAACACCTTATCGACGGATCATACTGATTTCAATTAAATTAGCGTGGAAAGTTTTGTTTAAGTAAAAGCGTCTTTAAGATTTTATACTGATTTTCCTCCTTTTCAAATAGAATATGTATATGAAAATAAAAAAATATTTGTGTCTACATTTTTCTAATTTACGAGATACCCGAGTATCCAGATTACCCGTATAATATAGGCAAATGAGATCCTCGACAGGAAAGCCAAAATAAAAGAAAAGTTTTAAATTTGAATAGACTGGAAAGACCAATAATTTTGTCTATCCAGGTATCTCGAGTCCCTAGACCACAAGTGAACAAATTTCATTGGAAAGATTTTTTCAAACAACAAACAATTTAAGATGAAGTCACTCTTCGTGAAAGACACTGTCATAAACAAGCGTGGAGCATTGAAACATCTCCGAGAGCAGAATTCATCGAATGAATTATTCTCGTTTCGAAAGGAGAACCAAAAGCCGTCTGCGATCTCCTGCTCGCTTCATTAATCACGGCTGGCTGGTCGAGGTAGCCTCCCATTTCGTTTCGTCTCGGCCAGGAAATAAGAAGAAGAAGAAAAAATGAAACAAGTTGACCGCGAGAATTACGTAAAACGCGACTCACGTTGAAAGCCTTCTGACGCTCCGGGTCGTGGTGTCTGGGGTCCAACCTCTCGTCGGGATCCTCGTCGTCGTCATCCTCGTCCTCTTTATTACCACTGCTGCTGGTCTCGTCGTGAGCGCTCCCCGTCCCTTCGCCACCCGCCGGGCTCGATTCACGATCGCGATCGGATCGCGAGGGCGTCGCTGACGACGCTGGCGGCGGCGTCTTCTTCAGTCCCATAGCGTAAGATGCCCACAAGGATGCCATGTCCTCGCTGCCAACACCGGCCACGGCTCCCAAATTTGGAACGGTACCGGCGGGCATGTCTACCAACTCCGTGGAACCGTTTCGAGAGTCTGAAACATTGAATACGACGGTGTCTTTGTTAATTTTTGAACGGCGGAGCATGGGTCAATCGTGATCAAATTTTACAAAAAAAGAATTATTAACCCAAAATTAGGTGTATTATTTTTTAACGAAAGGGTTTTATGGATATATATATATATATATAGTGGAAGAATAATTTTAGAAATTAAATTAAATTAAAATTTGAGCTCTCTCCATGGTCCGCCATCTGAAAGTTAAACTTTTAACCCTTTCGTTGGTACTTAAAGATAAAGTTAAGATGATCTTACACCTCCAATGCTTAAATATAATAAGTTCCTTTTAAAAAGGTTGATTTCCTTCTGATTTGCTCCCATTACAAGTCCCCCGAGGATCGCGAACCGCGTCGAGGCGAAACGTACCGTTCGAAATTTACATCAACGTCGGTTCGCGTAACTCGGCATTAAACCGTGAACTTTTTATCGCCGCATCTAGAACAGCGTCTGTCAACTTGTTGCGCTTGCTCTCGACGACAATTCAAATAAGTTCCCCGGAACTTGCCCGCATCTGACGCTCTCCGATTCTCTTCCCGAAGCTTCGTTTCCCGTTCCTTGGAATTTCACGAACCGATTGATCGTCGAGAGCAATCTATCCGTTCAACAAACGGAGAGGAATTTCAGCGAGAATTTTAGTCAAAATTCTGATGAATCCTGAATGAACCAATTGAATTAAACGACACCGAAATATTCGAATGTTTTTAGGCGAAGGAATGATAATTTCAAGATTTATTCACGAATGCTAATCGGATGAGAATATTGGACCGATCCTGTCTAATCCAGAGGGCAGATGGAAAGTGGCAGAAGTTCGCGAGCCAGAAGTAGCCTCTTTACGGTTCCCCTGAGGCACTCCCTACCCGCGATCCGCAACACTCGGCGGTTTCGCGTTGTAGCCTCTCGCTTCGTACCTGTCCTCGCCAACATCCTCGTGAAAGCACCTTTTGCCCGTACATTCTCTCCCGGCATCTCGACGATGGAACAGCGCGACTCTTTCTTGCGGCTCGTGGAAGGGATCTACTTAGACTTATTACGGGTTTTGGAAACAGGTCGACGATTTTTTCTCTTCCCGCTGAAAGGAAACGCTCTTAAGAGACGCCTCCGAGTCAAGGCTGCCAACACTGGCGTACCTCTTATTCGAAGCTTCGAATTATTCGGACGAGATCCACCGGAGCAGCAATTTGTCCACGGAATTGATCGTTCGAAATGATATGAACCGACGTTAAACGGGAAAGAACGAGTTAACTCGGTGCTCGAGAATCGCTCTCTGATTGACATAACGGGCTAAACTCGAAGTTTTAGTAACCGCGCTTCGGGAAACGTTGGGGTAGACTTCCCTAGGGATATTAAAAATATCTATGCCAATAAATGGTACAACTTTGATCTATAAAAAAATTGGATAAAACCTCTGAAAATATTGTGGGATTGCGGGCCTGCAAGCGTGGCCCTCGAGTGGGCACTGTTTATGGCAGGGTCACCCGGAGTTTGGGTTGACTGCAGGCGGGGTAGGATGACACGATGCAGACCCGGTGTCTGGCTTCTTATTGTTAGTTTTAAGGAATGAATGAGAGAGTGAGAGAATGAGTAGGAGAGTGCCTGGCAACGAGAAAACGGGCAGAATAGTTGCGACCATCGTGGAGAAAACTGGGTAGACTTGCGTGAAGTCTTAGTTTTTCACTAGATATATATTCCCACAATATTTATCAAACAGCTCGAAAAGAAATCAGAGAAAAATGATCGAACAAGAACTTTCAACCCCCTTTGCATCGAACCCCTATAAGAATGAGGAACTTACACTTGGACAGAGTCGTCTAACCAGTAGTCGAGAAAGGCCAGCAGCGTTTCGAACAAGATCAATGATTAAATAATTCGGTGCCGTGGACGGTTCATCCCGGAAACGTAGGACCGCGGGACAAAATCCCAAAGTCGATGCGGCGGGCATCCGCGAGCACCCTGCACTAAGACCGATTCTAAATTCTCCGTTCAACGATCGCACGCAGAACCACGCACGCACGCTTCCAGGAAGATTCCGGTAGAACCAGTAACTGAACGCGCGAGTAGACGACCCAGGAAACTGGACCCTCGTCCAGGAGGCGGCGCAGCACCCGGCTCTCTTCCTCTCTTCCTCCGCTAGTAACGATGCATCGAGGTTGCTGCACCTTGGTTCTTGCGCTCGTACACGCTCGCCACGAAGAATTCGTGGGCAACGAGGAACGCGGCGAGTGGAACGGACTCTCCCCACCCTTGTCCCTGGTCAGGGAAAGGATTTCCCTGTTTGGTCGTGTTTGTTGTTGTTGGAAGGATTTTTTGAACCAATGGTTCAATTGATAATTTTCCAAAGATGTTCAATGTCGACGGTCGAGAAAATCGATTGAAATACGGATGGGATTGGTGAGAGGATATTCAAAGATATTTTTCAAAGATATTCGAAACTCGAAAAGTCGATGGGTGCGAGGGTTCCCCGACACCCGTTCCCCGGATGGCCGGCGTTGCAAAACAGAGGGGGCCCAGGGGATAGCCGGTGAACCCGGCTAGCTTGGCTAGAAAGCCGGTTACCAATCCCAATCCCACCAGAACCGTTCCTGAACTGGCCGCTGGTCTGAACCTGAAATCAGTCGCTGCCACCCCACCCGGCAGTTCGTCCTCCTCGTTCCTTCAACCGCTTCCCGCAAAAGGAAACTAATACCCGGCTGGCCCCGTCGACTTCCTCTTTTTCTAGCCACGCTACGTGCGTGGCCGTGCAACAAAATTCACGGACGAGCTGGCGCACGCCCACGGACGGCTACGAGCCACCAACCGCACAGCACCGTGTTTTATCTCGTTGCCCGAGCGCCACGAGCGAAACAACGCCGGGCATACACGCGTGAACGTACAATTTTCATTTCAGAAAGTGGTTTTCTTTTCGTAAAATTTCATTGTGTAATTTATTCGAACAAAGATATCCGACACGCTTTGCCTGTGGAATATTCTTTAATTTGAAAGAATACATTTTGTTTTATCAAGATTTAGCTTATCCGAAAATCGTATCGCGACACGTACGATTGTCGAGGGAAAAGGAAAGTATTAAACTTAGATCGAGCTAATAACCATACGAGAAAATCGTTATAAACACGATTCGCTTCGCAACAGGCGTCCGTTCCCGCCGCTTTCGTAAATGTCACCGTCCATTAAAGAGAAGATTCTTTATCGCGTTGGCGAGGCTAGCTTCTGCAGAACATGAGATTTGGAATTTCGATATTCTGTCGATGGAAAATCGTGAACGACGACAGGATATATTTTTCAAGGAAAAGAGAAATCTATCTGTTGGATTTATGAGAGGACGACGGGAGAACGAGAAGTTTCTATCTTTTGATCTTGTCAAGTGTTGAAATTCATTTTTCTTGAATCTCGATTTTTTATTACATGACGGAAGAAATAGTTTCAATAATTTGCGTAATTACTACCTTTGATAATAAAATAAATTTTAGTACGATTCTACTAATTGTAGAATTATCTATTAAGATACATTATTTAACTTTTGGACGGCGGACCATGGAGAGAGCCCAAACTTTAATTTAATTTTCTAAATTTTACACTGTTCTTTGAAAAATTATTTCTCCAATATATGAAACTCTTTCGCAATCGACCCAGGCTCAAAGGGTTAAACAAGATTTATTTAACGTAAATAAACGTTAGTATTAAAATTAATATCCGAACTTCTCAAATCAAATCGAAAATCGAAAGTACATGCGACAGGGAGAGATTTCACTCTATCAATGAATTTACATAACAACACAGGTATCCTTTGTCCGCGAAGCATTTTTGTCTTCCTGGTCAACGCCTGTTCGCCCACGAACGTTTCGCAAAATCGATTTTCCGATAAGGGAACCCCATTTCGCGTTACGAGATTCCGCTAACGAAAAACAAAACCCACGGGGAAAACGTAGAGGCGAGCAAACTCGCGTTTCGCAAGCGGTAACTGTAATCTCACTTTTGAATCTTCCAACAGGAATTCAGCTTTCTGGAAAAAAAGAACCACGCTCCCTCCCTTAATGGTCACTGACATTTGCAAAGATGACGGAATAATCTGCGCTCCTCCTCGCGAAGATTACTGATAACGCGCACCGGGACTTTTGTTCAGTTTTCTCTATCTCGAGGAATCGTGTTCCCGTGTTGTTAGTTCAGTGTTTTCTTTGGAATATTCGTGGATCATTAACTCAGTGAAAATGGCCATACGTTATAATTGCAATTATTTAGGATAACATCCCTTAATATTTAATTTAAGCTTTCTATTTTCTATAATATTGATAACATTTGAAATTCTTTTAAATTTTCGCTTAAATTAATTTATTGATTAATTATCAATATATTAATTAACATAGTGAAAATGGACATGTGTAATAGATACAATTATGATTGTAATTATTTAGGGCTGCATCCCTTAATATTAAATTTAAGATATAATATCGATACCATTTGAATTTTTAAAAAAATTCCTGCTTAAATTATTTTGATAAGTCAATATTTCAATGGCCACAGTGAAAATGATTCTACAGTTTTATTTTTATTTCTAAGGCACTTAATAAGCTCCGACACCTAATTAATGCAATATTAATACTACTTGAAATTTTCTATAATTCTTCCTAGGGTCATTTTAATAAGCCATTAACAAATTAATTATCATAATGTACATGATGAAATTATTCAAGATAATCAATTTAAATCTTCACGGTTATACGCGACTAAAATGAAGAGATTCGACGAAATGATCTTTCACAAACGGATAAAGATACATGAAAATATCGCTTTTGTTATGTAAAATCAGCTTTGACCATCGCTGGATGGTCATCGTCTACCATGCAATACGTGTTCTCTTTGGCAAACATCGTTGAAGGAAGATTCTTTACCGTTAAGGCACAACTTGAGCATCTTAAGGAGTATATTAACTGATTAAAAATCGAGATAACCGCATGATGACGGGACGAAGATTTATTCGTTGTTTTCTTCGGGCTTACCTCTTCGGCGACGGAAAAGAGGAGTTGCTTTCTTGGAAGAATTCATTCGAGAAATATATTGCTGTCCGAGATATGTTTTATTGGACACGAAGAATGATGTATTTTTTCAGCTACTGTTTCGTTCGCTACTATAGTCCAAAATTTAAAAAAGAGTAACAGAAAGTTTCTCGCTATAAATGGTCCCTTTTGCACCCATAACAAAAACCACGTCCCATTAAAAAAAAATTACCAAAATTAATAACAGACCAAACGAAGGAGGGTGGAACGTCAGTAAAGTAACATGAAATATACTCCAGCATTTTCCCTGGCAATTTTTCCGAGGCGATCGTAAAGCGGAGGCCGCGTCGATTTATCGCGAAACCGATTTGCGAAAGAGGACGGGGAGAACGAGAAGAGGGAAAAGGCGACTCCGAAGGAAGGTGGAACCATCGTCTCTGGTCTGGTTGCACACGTACCATCGCATCGCGACTTCGTCGGCTGGTTCATTACGCAATGACCACGTCTGAGATGTAGAGGGCCGTCTCGAAACCAGTTTGCCAGTAAGGATGCCTCCGAGAAGGGAGGCAGAGGGCAACGGTGAATTATCCTTCCGCAACCTCGCCTAACTGAACCGTTCTGCGGACCCGTGGGTCGTGAAAAAAGGAAAGGGGAGTGCCTGCTTCTCTCGATGGGATTCTACCCGCAACGAATCTCAACTCGTTTGAACATCCTAAGGGATGAGAAAGGGGGTTGTTTCGAAATTGACCGTTTGGCGGTCGAAATTCACCCTTCTGTCCAACGGTAGCCAGAGTTTTTCTTAGGAATAATAAAAATTGTGTTAAATAAATAAATTTCAAACTTCAGGAATTATCAAGAAAACAGAGGAAACAGGTTGCTGTTTATAGTTTCTTGATTATGATCGAACATAAGTCAATGAATGTTGCATGGAAAGGGAAAGGAATAGTTTGAATATCAGACTTGACAGTGAACTCGTGTAACTGAATCGATTCGTTCTTGTGAGAAAAAGAGAAACAAAGAATGAAATGTCTGATTTGATAAGATCAGTGTACACGGGTTCGTATATCTGATGATTTGAACGCTCGTATAACTGCATACTGCACTAGCTTCAATGAAAGATAAGAAATAATTGTTTGCTTATCTAACAAGGAGATGCTACGAGGTGCTAACTCGACTTTCGAATGAGCTCTAGTGCATTCGAAAGGGGAGGTCAATAGTACAAATCGTGTTAAGGGTTTTGGGTGTATGGGCCTTACTTTTTGAGAAAATTGCATAAATATTTATGCATTTTTTCAGCTGTACTATAAATACAATGAATAGTTGAATATCAGTATGAAGCAAATTAGCCGAGCAGGTTAAGTGCCCGTGCAGCTATTGTTTTGTAATCCATGCAAGCTCGGTTCAAGACAGCATTCTGATAATTTTTTTTTTTTTCTTTTAAGATTATTCTATTTATGAATTGATTTTTTTCATTCTTTGCAGCAATAAAAAACGATTTATTACTTGGTATTATATCTGTATGTAGTTATTATGTTATGTGTTATAAAATTCTGTCATAAAACTACATACAGATATAATACCAAGTAATAAATCGTTTTTTATTGCTGCAAAGAATGAAAAAAATCAATTCATAAATAGAATAATCTTAAAAGAAAAAAAAAAAAAATTATCAGAATGCTGTCTTGAACCGAGCTTGCATGGATTACAAAACAATAGCTGCACGGGCACTTAACCTGCTCGGCTAATTTGCTTCATACTGATATTCAACTATTCATTGTATTTATAGTACAGCTGAAAAAATGCATAAATATTTATGTAATTTTCTCAAAAAGTAAGGCCCATACACCCAAAACCCTTAACACGATTTGTACTATTGACCTCCCCTTTCGAATGCACTAGAGCTCATTCGAAAGTCGAGTTAGCACTTCGTAGCATCTCCTTGTAAGTAAATATTTGAAATAGCTTCTACTGGCTACCCCAGACGATCATTCAATAAATCTGGCTGCAAATATACTTGCTTCTCTGATTTACAAAGATGAGAACTCTTTGAAACATTTAAAATAACGATAAATCATTTATCTTATTTACTGAAATTTTGCAAATATTTTTTCCCCAAGTTTTATCCATTGGAAATTGTGAAAAATCACCGTTGCACGATCAATCTTTTAAGACACGAAATTTACTCTCCCCACTAGGTTCACCTGCAACCACGCGACACAATAATGGTCGACGCGTGGGTGACACGCCGAACGAGCCCACGGTTAATTAGCGGCGTTAATCACGGCCGATCAACAACGGAGAACCGTGTCGTTGTCGTCGAAACGGCTCGGTTTCACGGGCCAAAGAAGGAGCAGTGAATTTCCTACGCAGCACCGTCACAGCCCGACAATCCATTAGTCACGTCGAGGTACAACGACAAAACTCGCATGAGCTAAATAGCCGGTACACCTTGGCCCCGCGAAACCTGCAATTCACCATTGCTCGTCGGAGAAGGACGCGAAACTTGAGCATTGAAGTCTCCGCCGCGCCGCGCCATGCCGCGATTACGCCTCGAATGCGGCGGAATCCTTTTCAACTCGCTCGCAGGATTTCGTCAGAGAAACCTTCTGCCTCCTGTACCGAACATTTTTCAGATCTTGTTCTATACAAGAAACGATATTTTAAAGAACACGTTACTATTGTTAAAAGTTATTTGGAAATTTTAGATTATTAAATAAATCAGAAGTTTCTGCAGTTCTTCTGAATTGCCTCTGTTAAGAATTAATTATAGCAATCTTACTACAAATTAGAAATTAAAAAAAGTATCAAGAAATTATTTAAAAAATAATGAAAATAACATAATTTCCCAGCTTCATGCAAAATTCTTAAGAAATGATTAAAATTAAAACAGCTTATTAATAAATTCACGTATTCTCGATCAATTAAATTTTCTGTTTAAATAAATAAAAGCTACAAAATACTGTAACAACGAATATAACTACAACACGTACTGTAAACCAGTGCCAGTAATAAACAATACTAAAAATAAAAATAAAAAAACAGCAAATTCCTTCGTTCATGCCAATAAACAGCCCCTGTTTAATTTCACCCCAACGATATATACCGGCACCCTCTTGGTTCGTTTTACTCGCTGAATCCGCGCGATCACGGCAATGAAAACTGTAAATAAGCCGAGGACACTCACTAGCTCGCGATTTCGTCGATGAAATAAGGTGTTACCTGTAAGTGTGGAGTTGTTAATGGTGTTGTTTGCCGTGGATATGGCCGATTGGCTGGTGACAGGTGTGCCAACGGTGGTGGCCGTGGTTGTCGAGGAGTTATTTGGCGATAGGGCCGCGTTGGCTGCCTGAGCCTGTGCCTGGGCCTGGGCCTGAGCCTGAGCCCGCTGTTGAAGATTATAATTCCACGCGAGCAGCATCAGCTTCAGGTTATCCGGGTCTTTCATGAACGCGCCTGCCGAAATTAAAAGTGCCAATTGGTCTCAGGGCATGATTAATAACGATGAAATGGTGCCGATAGAGGTGGTTGGTGAGAATCGAGGGCCCACTTTTGGAACCGGATTGGTGACAGGAAACATTCTGGGAGGGCGAATTTAAGGAAATTTATAGTCGGTCGCAGAAATATAGCGTGAGAAATATTAAAATATATTTTAAATTTAATTATTTAAAATAATAAATTGAATTGAAAATTACCCTTTTCATATTTGAAAAACACGAATTAGATTTCTGCGCCGACTATACTGTGAATGGGCAAGGAAGGAAATGTATTACCTGTTAATTACTGTGTCATAGAGGAATATTACTTGGTTTTCTGTGCTCGTTTTAAAATTGTATTGTAATTGTGTTGAGTTCTAGTGATTGTAATTTAAAGTGATTTTGTGTTCAGAATAAATTCAACGTGAATGTTGTTTAATATAGGACAATTATATCGGAATTTGGACAAATCAGATAGAATATGCTTGATTCGTTTCTCGATCGATCGAAGCTCCCGATGTTCGACGGCGCAACAGGTCAAACTATCGAAATTCCCCGGCATTCGACTAATTCTCAAGCTCACTCGCGCGAAAATGCAACTACGTTAACAGTTTCGTCACCGATCGCGCGTTTCCAGAATTTTCATTCGATCGCATCAACAGGTAAGCTCGTTCGAATTCCAAGCAAGGGTTGCTGCAGGTACAAATAAAACGCGATGAAGACGTTTCGTAAGATACATCAATTTGGAAGATTGTACATTAGATTTCAGTACTTTTCAAATCTAACTCGAAAGTTATCACAAGACAAATGATTTTCGATTTAAAAAATCTTGTATGCTTGTTTTCATATCTCCAAGAGGTAACTATGATTATGTAACTAGCAAAAAAAGCGGTCGAGTCAACATACATAGAAAAAACGAATGGAAAACCGAAATTACGTAAACGGAGAAGTGCGTGTCATGAAGAAAAATGAACCTCTTCGTTCTGAATCCTATGAAAAATCATTTTAAGTTCATGTGTAGGTCTAACAAAATTTTTATCTCATCGAGCATTTGCCTATTATTTAATAAATAAATAAAAATCTTTTATAGACAAGCTGAGTCGTTTATGTCTGAACTGAATTTCAACCTTTTCTGAATATTTATTTTTCCCAATTAATTCCTCAAACATATGTATTAAAATAGAGCTCTCAATAAGTATCCCAGGATTTTTTTAGATTGTTTGAAAATTAAAAATAGCACAAAAATTAGTCGTAGACATAAGTGACCCAGGTTGCTCACAGGGAGTTCTTAATAATTATAAAAAATAAAAAATATTATAGAGGCAGAGTAAATGTGACGCAAAAGTGCGACAGGGAGTTCGTCGAGTGTCAATTAAAACCTCAGGCTCGATGAGTACTACAGTCTATCTCAATCGTTCAATTATCGATCTCCTCGCGTCGCGTATGAGTAAAGAACAAGCTCCGCAACAAGTTCCACAGGAAATTTCGTGTATTCTGAAGAATTTTGGCGCAGGCAAGCTCATTAAACGAACCGTGAAATCGTTACGTTTCGGCGGTCGTGTCGAAATAGCAATTAACTCCTCTGACTCGATGCCCAGTTGGGCGAAATTTGAAGAAATGAGGAAAAAGATTTAACTTGGTAGATTTCTCTAGTGCCTTTTCATAACACATTGACTGCCATGCAAAATTTGTTGAAACTTTCATTAGATAATATTTTTATTTGGAAAAAATTTTCATTGGAAAATTAGATAGGGGTTGGGGTGGATCTGGACCCCCAAAAATCTAGACTGCTCCCTCGTTAAAAATGTGGACTTTCACCATTTGAAAAATTTGAGATTCCAAAATTCTAGAATCCTAAAACTTTAGAATTTCAAAATTTTCGAATTCTAAAATTGCAAAATTCCAAAGTTAGAAAATTGCAAAATTTCAAACTTCCTAAATTCTAAAATTTTAGACTTCTTAAATTGCAAAACTTTAGACTTCCTAAATTACAAAATTCTAGAATTTCAGAATTTCATAATTCCCAAATTCCAAATTGCCAAAATTTCTAAGGGACTTGGCCCACCTCAGAAGGTCTAAATTAGACCAACGAAAATCTTATCCACTATTCTCAGAATATTTCATTTCCTACTATCCAGTATTCCAAATACCTAATAAAAATATTTCTAATTAGGCAATAAAATTTCCTTTGAAAAATCATGTGTCACCTAAACATGGATGACATGGCAATCAAAGTGTTGCAATTACCATTTACTCTACCAATATAAACCAGGCATTAGAAGTTAATAAAAATGGAATACCAGTGTACGCGCATGAATTTACTTGCACTATTATCCTCTAGCAATGTAAACCAGTCTCAACACCGGGTGCAAACACATCATGTCGATTGATATCGTGCTGGCTGTCGCGGTACGTGCGAAGAACAATTTCATTCGATCGAAATGCTGCGGGATCATCGACGAAAGAGGAGGTCGGCGAGCATCCTCGTCTGATTAATCGGTTGTTTCTCAGAACCGCGAGGCAACGTCATCGTGCGAGGCGCGAGTGCATCTCGTTCTTTTATGTAAGAGGCCGCGGTAACGAGATTACGAGGTTGAAATGTCGGTGCATGCTAATAAATACGTCGCTCGTCCGTAACGCGGACCGCGACTGGCTCGATTCAGCGAACGTGTTTTCGAACAGGTTGCCGTGCTTTTATACGTCAAAATACCAGGTGCCTATTGTAAAATTCAAACGAGACGAGAAAAAATTTTTTCAAAATATATTTTGCCATCGTGAAAAATAATTAAGTACTAAGAAAGACGATCCGCCTCTAATTCTGCATTCTTTGTGAAGATAATAATGAATATAAGATACAATAAGTTATACTGAATAAACATAATTTAAAATTGAATAAATTTCAAGAAGAACATAATTGCACCTAAATGTCATTTAAATTTGAAATGAATCCTAATAAGGCAGAAAGTGTCATTTTATGAGAAGAACTGATTTTTAATATCGTCATCTTATGACGACATCCGTACCGAAAATCTAAATTGAAACAAGATGAAGGGAGAAACTTTTGAAGCTTACTATGCCGGTCTCCAGAGTTCCCTCCAATTGCAGAGTCGATTCGATCGAGCGAGAGAATTAGCAGTGACACGTAGAAGGGCACTCGAGCGACGGCAGAACGAAAGCGGATAGAGGAAGGAAGAAAGAAAGAGGGAGATTTATTAGCAGCTGGATAAAGTTGGCGGCTGACGGGAACGGCGTGACGTCTAAATCATTCAAGCCCGTTCAATAATGCAGAAACGCGACGCCATCGCGTACGATTTGGGTCAGATTCTCGAAACGACCGAGTCCTGACCTGTCCAATGGACAACGAACGTCGGTTCGAACCCCTTTTGTTCCCTGAGTTCGATAAAATTCTAAACATCTGATAAACGGGGATAAAATTACGGGTGAGATATCCGGGTAATTTTTGTCTACCCGGGTGTCTCGTAAATTAGAGGCCTAACTGAAAAGATCTACTCCATTTCGAAAACAAAACATTTTCCCGAAGTGCTGGGTACGAAAGGAGACACCCGAGTAACGCAGGAAATTATTCTCGCGGTCTGATCATCTCTGGTATGAATGAGAAAGAATGAAAAATATATATAAAAATAAACGACAAGGTCTGCGAACGGTTAATGAAAGGTTTTGCTTACTCGAGTAGTGATCCTCCTCGGATATGTCGGCTGGCTCTGGGGTCGAGATGTTTTCCTGCAACAAGATGCAAAGGTGCGGTTAGAGTGTGTGCCGCCACTTGTCACCCATTCGAATGGTTTTCTCACGCGAGAAGTGTCGTCGAGGTGCAAAGGGTTGAAACTCCCGCAGAAGGGTTCTCGCCCGTTGCTCCTCCGAACACTCCTCGCGATAAATGTTAACGTCTGGTTGATTTTGGCAACGTTATTACGCAATTTCTTAGAATTACTCATTGGAAAACAGTGAATTAACACGTTTACTGTCACGAAGGCCATCGGTGACTGGCGTTCGGAGCTGGATAAAATTGAAAGAACAAACGTTTGAAATACTGTTTTCAATCGATAGATGCTGTACCGGTTAAATACTACGATATTCTCAATGAAAATATTTCCAGGCTGTAAATGAGTCGAATGACAGCCAGAAATCAGAGCCGGACTTCTCGATCCCGTAGTCAATCGTGCACGCGTTTCATAGAATCGCGATTGTCCTCGCGATTGCGACACGAAGAAACACACCGGCAGACTTTCCGCACACCCACGGAACGGCCGTGGACTTTATTGTCCCGGATCGAGAGGTGGCTTGCGGCGGTGGCTTGCGGTTCGTCCGTACGCAAATTACTTACGCCTCGTCTCGGCGACGTGCCGTGAGAGACGGGATTCAGGCACGTCGAGAATCTTGGATCGATGCTGTATAGTTGGGCTCGGAGATATAGCGCAGTCGATGCGAAATTAGAATTAATTTTTCGGTTGAAAAATTAAAATTCAGACACTGCTATGTTTCACATTTTAATTTATAATCATATTATATCACCGAACCTAACTATACTATAACGATCTCGAATCGATTAGGCTCGGAAATATAGCGCAGTCGATGCGAAATCGGAATTAATTTTTCGGCTCCAAAATTAGTCTCTATTAAAATTAAAATTTAAACACCGCTACATTTCATTATTTTCAATTACATTATATTTCGGAACCCAATTACACCGAAGAAAAACCGAAAGCTGCCTTAATGAATACAACCAGGCATTGATATCACCGGCGATCGCCATGATTGGTCGCTTCAGGTAACACTTTGCTAGCTAATTTCCCTAAGGAAAAATCCTAGTTACGCCAATGATCCTAGGCGCGTGATTCAACGTTCACGAGCAGCCTGCCATGATCGTTTTACGCGGCACCATTGAACGAACCTTCCCTCGTCGTCAGGGTTTCCCGTTGAAACGAACGGCCGTCGGTTTCGCAAGGCGTGCGCGCAAGACGTATGCCTGGTCCGACGACGGGCCGACTTGAACGGGTCTCTCCTATCTGTGTCAGGTCTCGTGTTGCAACTGCAGAAGGTCGACCGGTATACCGTGCGGAGAGCACGGCCAATTGATACCGGTCGCAACTTTGCCCGTTGTTGTAGGACGAACGGCGACCGACTTGTACGCGCATACCGTCCTCCGAGTCGCGCAAAAAGTGCCGCTGATGTAACCGAGAAATTCCGACCGTGCCATGCGTGGCCGGTATCGCAGCTGAACCGAATCGGAGGACGGAAGAATCTTGAAAATATAACGTTCCATTGGAAAATCGATCGGGGGAATGCGTACAAAGTCCGCGAGAGAAGTGTCGACTTTAGTTACCATACGAAAATATCATTTGCATCAAGCGTAACAAGAAATAAAGACATTCCACCATCCTTTAACACGCGTTCGCCTAGGATCATTTAAATCAACATCCATCCATCAAAGTCCTTCGGATCGTCGAGACGTACCCACGCAATTATAATTCAAGTTCATTAATCTTGAAACGCGAGGCGAACAATTAAAAGGGGTTGGTAAGCCGACACGAGAGTCCCGCGAATTGATAGTCCAGATCGCGAGTAAAAGATGAATCCATTAACCCATTTACTCGATCTACGCGGCGATCAATCTTTCCGCCCACTGGCATCACGTCGATTGCACAATCTTCGTTCTGAAACGAAAGGAGAGAGAAAAAAAAAAGGAAAAAGAAAAGAAAGGCGACCATTGACACGAATACTTCCTTTGAATAGCGACAGGCCAATGATTTACTATTCCCGTTTCCTCGATCCTGGGAAATCGCCCAAGAAACGTTTCGTCGCTCGAACAATGCTCGAGATACCGATAGTCTCGTTACAATACTCCCGCGCATTCCGCCTCGTAATCGCGGCGACGGGCGATCGTCAGCTGGCCAGGAAGTGTGTTTTAATAATCGATGGAATTTATTGGCCAACGACTCGTATCTTTATCGTCGAGCTGCTGCTCCGACTTCCAATGACGCCGGTTATTTTAAGAATCTTTTATTAAGAATTTAATATAATACCGATGCGGTCGGTGATCGATTGACTTTCCCGATTTTCCGGGGTCTTTTTCACGTTTTATATATAAACCATTTTCGATTCTTCCAATATGACATTTTTTCAACGATTTCTATATTTTATGAATTGATTATATTTAGGAGCGATCGCGAAAGAGTTAAGGAGAATTTCTTAGAGAAAGGGTGAAAGATTCTTAGGCAGGGGCGTGCGATCGTTGGGGGCCCGCAGCCTAAAGCGACTCGTAAATCATGCGACGGCTGGGGCCGAGGTATCCTAAGGTCGCAGGTACTAATGAACAATGTCCTCTGGCTTTCTCTCTCCCGGCCGTTTGTCTTCTCTCTTTCTCCCCGTCTCACCTACGCACGGGTCGCCCCACTTCCGGCGGATGTACCCTGATAAATGGGAATCTCGCCGAGCGCACGGCCAGTCGGCCGTATACACCTACGACGGAACGTAGCATGCCGAATGAGAAACGAGCCGGGAGCGGTGCTCGTCTTCGAGGCCGGCAACAAGAAGCACCGGAGAAAAATGAGGGGACCAGACTCGCCCCGGCTGGTCGTTTAACGCCAGGAGGAAGCGTCGAGTTAACGATTTCATGAGCCCGTTCTACCGTATCCTGGCGCGGACTTTCTAGGATGAAAATAGCCGTTGGACCGATTTTTCAAACCGTAGAAACCGAAATGCATGGCGTCATAAGATGACATCGACGCTGGAAGCATTAACGCGTTACTTATACACGGTATACTACTTCAGATCCTACATAAATCATATTTCCAACGATAAAAAGTCAACCGGTCCCGACAATTGTTCTTGCAAACACTCGAAATAGATCTGATGAGAGATACCTACGATGGGGATGACACGGAGCCTCCCTGTTTCACGTACATTCACACCCGTCCGCTAATGTAGTGGTTTCAACTCTCACCCCAAGATCTGTATTTGTCATGTACATTAACGGGATGACAAACCGTGTCATACTGTCCGGCTCGGCAACGAATCCCGTGAAACGATGCCCTCCTCTGATTCTCACGTAAAGAGCTCTTCCACGAAGAAAACGAGAGAAGGTTAAAAAAGCACGAAGAGGAAAAAGAAAGAGAGAGATACGGGTACACGTTGTCGGGTGGACCTGAAACACGGGTTACGGAGAAAGAAATTGCCCGAAGAGGGAGGGTGAGATACGGGGAGAGAGAGAGAGCCGCACACGGTCAGGGAGATACGGTTGGAACATTTGTTTAGTTGACTGCAATTAAGCCACTTGGCGGCAATTGTTTGTCGCTCAGCACAGAATTCCGCTCCCACCGTGCGGGTACGCGGTCATAAAACGCGGGGACGCGTGTGCGTGGCAGGCGCGCGTTCGTTGTTGTACCAACTCGCCACCAACACGGCAATTCCAGACGATAAGGCCGAGCGAGTTGCCGGGGTTAGGGGTCAACCGGGTCCAGTAGCCGGTGTCCGACCAATCAGCGGCTGGCAACCGGTCGGACACTCCGCGAGATCGGCCCCGACGATTGCCTTTTGTCTTGGAACGCCGTGGATCAGCGCGATGAATTGTGCGCCGAAGTCACGCGACCGAGCTCAGTTAGCTTCGTCGCGATCTTGTATGTACTCATCGAATTTTATTGATTCCGATGATCGTTGGCTAATAGTAGGCTAAATGCCGTCGCGGCGGTCAGAAATTCTAGGGAATGATGATAGATTTGTTATTAAAGGATGTATCGTGCTATCTTACAGAGTCCTTCAGGAGTTTTCTCCCGTGCCAGCGGCTTAATCTCAATAAGATGGTTCCGCGTACAGTACCGCGCATGGCGGACTGCTCTAGGGAAAATGGCGGCGTAGGCGAAGGTGGCGCCACCACTCGGGAAAGATTGATCTAGTACTTTTTATAAGTGCAAGTTACTATAGCGAGTGGTGGAAGTTTCTTTCTCTATATCGCCATTTTCCCTAGACAAGATATATAGCTAGAATGGCGGACTGCCCCAGGGAAAATGGCGGCGTAGGCGAAGGTGGCGCCACCACTCGGGAAAGATTGATCTAGTACTTTTTATAAGTGCAAATTACTATAGCGAGTGGTGGAAGTTTCTTTCTCTATATCGCCATATTTCCTAGACAAGATATATAGCTAGAATAGCTTCTGATTCTTATTTTTAATAACTCATTAACCTCGTCAAAAGTTCCCCATATTTCAAAGTATCTCCCTGAAGAAGCTAAAAAAGGATTTAAACATTCTTCGTGCACAACAGGTACGGTCGTAAATCGCTTACGAAAGGTCACAGTTTGTTCGCCGCGTAGATTTGCCAAGAAATAAAAAGAAATTGGACCATTAGAACGGTCGGAATGGTCGGAAATCGTTCTGATGGTTGATTTAGTTAGCTCTTCTGGCTGGCTCTCGGGATAATGGGGAAATGATTGTGGCCTACCGATGATTTCAGGGGCCGTGTGTTTTGGCTGGGTCGAGAGAAACACCTATCGTCGATTCCTCTCTCCGTTGGTCTTTCTCTCCTCCCTCGTCTCTACCTCCTCTCTCAATTTCGGCTCATTTGCCTACCAAATCCGGCGGCCTATAAATACACGGGTGCTCCAGCGGTGAACGGATCTCAAGGTCATCGGTAATTTACCTCAGGAACGACGCTACACGCCCTTGCGCGCATGCCTCTTTCTTTCTCCATTTTCAACAGTCGAAACGGATTTTTATCGTTTCTTCA